CAAACCATTATTTTTGTCCATTTTATCCAATTTTTCAAAAAATGTGTGAAATGACGAATATACCCTCCTATTTAAATAAAAAAATATTTTTAATTTCTAATTCTTTAATAATTTATATGAGACTCATTTGTACTTTTTAATTTTTTTTTTTTAATTCAAATAAATTCAATCGGGACTCATTTGCACTTTAAAAAAAAAAAAATTTATTGTGGACTTGTCTGCACTTTTTAAAAAAAAATTGGGATTATGATTGCAATTAATTATTTAACCTTTTATTTAAATATCAGGGTATATTCGTCATTTCACAACTTTTAATTGAGAAATTGGATGAAAATGGATGGAAATGACGGTTTGCGCAATTAAATGTGTAATTAAGGGTGAAAATGTAAAAAAAAAAAGTATGTACATTATTTGCAATAATAGGAAAATGTAGAAACATTATGCGTTAATTACCTTTTTAATAATTTATTTGTGACTTATTTGGGTTTTTTTAAAAAAAAAATTGGACTGTGATTGCAATTAATTTTTTTCTTTTTGTTTTATTTAAAGAGAATGATATATTAGTCAGTTCATAATTTTTAATTGAGAAAATAAGTGAAAATGACCTTTTTGCGCAATGAAATATAGAAATAAGGGTGAAAATGTCAAAAAATGAAAGGAATTGATGTTTTCCATAATAACAATGAAAGGTGGAGACGTTATGTGCTAATTACCCAATTTTTTAAAAACTTGAAAATATTATTATATGTAATAATAAATAAATAAAGAAAAATAAGAACAAATGCACCCTCATGGGTCATGCTATGACCTACAAATGCGACAAAGGAAAATTAATTAATTAATAAGAACATTTTTAATGGAATCGTGCATTGCACAAAAAAATATTTTATATCATTCTAAAGTATTCAAATAATATGGAAAAAGGTGAACTAGACATCTTCCTTTCATTTTTCATAATTTATCTTCAATTCCTCGTCGAAGGAGGTGCTCATTTAGCCCCCGTTTAGTCTACATTATTATTTCATTAAAATAAAAAATATGACCGTTATCCATCACATCAACATTTAAATTCAAATTTTCTATCTTTTATGTGGGCTCCAATAACGACTATATTTTGTAGAAATTACACAAATCCATACTTTAAGTATTCAACATTCTAAAATCAGGTGGAAATTTTAATCTTTCAAAAATCAGATGTTTTATTTTAATTAATATTTTTATAAAATAAATATTTTTATTAANAAGTTTAATCTTTCAAAAATCAAATGTTTTATTTTAATTAATATTTTTATAAAATAAATATTTTTATTAAATATATATACTCCAAACCCTAATTAATTCCCAAATCAACCCTACATCTCTCCATCCCCACCTTATTTCCCCCAAACCCATTCTCCCTCTACCTCTCCTCTATTTCTCGTCGCCTTCCTCTCTATTCCTCCGTCACTGCATCGGACGAGCATCATACGGCGATATAGTCGTCGATGCAATTAGAGCATAGCAGCGACAACATCTTCGGAGCACAGCGATCATCGGCGATTTTTGGGCGATCTAATTCTTGGGTGTTCGTGGTGTCGATTTACGGCTGCGATGGTTTGTCATCGCTATGTCATCGTCAATACGGTGGTTTGAGCGTCTCCTCGTTCAATCTACTGTGTGGTGGTGTGTGCGGTGGTTGGGTTCTGTGGTGTGTGATGTACGTACGGTAGTGCTGAAGCGTGGTTTTGGCTATAGCAATGGTGTCGTGGTGTACAGCAGTGCCGGCGATGGTGGTGGTTGGTGATGTTTTGTGCGGCGACGATTCTGTGGTTGTAACTGTGGTGGCGGATCGACAGTATCTGGTGGTTTTTAGTGGTGGTTTTGGAGATGACGCTGTTACTACTGGTTGTCGTGGTGTTTGGGTGGTGGTGATGTTGGTCGGGGTGGTTGTCGTGGAGGCGGTGGTAGTGATCGTGACGATAGTGCAGATGATGGTGGTGGTTAAAAAAAAAAATCACCTAATGGATTAACCGTGACCTTAAAATTTGACAATTTGTGACTAATAAATTTGAAAATATGTGACTCATAGATAATTGTGACCTATAATTTTTTGATCTGTGGCCAATAAAATAATCTGTGACCTTTAAAATTATTGATTTGTGACCATAAAATAATCTATGACCTCCAAAAATTTTGATCTGTGACCGATATACAAATTGTGACCTATAAAAGTTTTGGATTGTGACCTAAGGTGTGACTCGTGACTTGAATTGTGACATGGGCTGTGACTTGTGAATTGGACTGTGACTCGTGACCTGAGTCGTCGGAATCGGAGCAGGCGTCGGAACGGTCTCCGGAACGGTCGCCGGAAAGTTCGTCAGAGTAGGGCGGTGATCAGAACGGTCGCCGGAGCGGTAGAGGTGGTGAAGGTGGGATGTGTTAATTATATTATATTA